AATACAGACTATCAGTGCTACACAGAATGTCTGAGCTAGGGGAGAGGCAGTCAGCACAGAGAATGTCAGAGCTAGGGAGGGCCCTTAGAACACAGGAGGTCAGAGCTGGAAGGGCCCTTAGAACACAGGATGTCAGAGCTGGGGAGGCCCTTAGAACAGAGACTGTCAGAGCTGGTAGGGCACATAGAGATTCTCTAGTCTGACTTTTCCAGGTCATACCATAGGGCTAGACTGCAAAACTTAGACTAGAATCAGGGCTTTTGACTCCCAGTCCCTTAGTCTGGTCTGTGGATGCCTCACCAGAGGCAAGGAGACAAAGGACTGACAGAGGCTTGGTTCCAATTCATAGGCAAGTCATATCCACCTTTGATAAGAATGTCTCCCTGCTTCCTTTATCTCTTCTGGGACAGGCATCCCCTTAAAGGGCCAGTGTGGAGCTGTGGTCCCCCACACACGGACTCCCTTAGTCATCTCTTCCCTTCCCCCCGGGTGTACAGAGGCCCAGCTCTGTCCTCAGTCATTGGAGCACTTGGCGCAGGGACCTGGCAGCCTCGGGAGCATTTATCTTGGTGCCCTGGCCCAGCCCTACCAGCCGACAGCTCGGAGGCCCTGATGGGTAAACAGGAAGACAGGCAGATGAAAATAACTCTGGGGCAGGAAGCTCACTTATCCTGGCCCCAGGGACGGGGAGCCAGAGCTTAAGCCTAAGCCTCACCCAACACTTCCCCATGTGGCCCTTCCACTGTGACAGAATGGAAAGGCCACACCAGCTCCTCACACCCTCTGGCCACAGACCTTCCTAGGAGAACCTGGGGGCTGGCTCTGATGTAACAGAAACCATCCTCAAAAGTTCACCCAAGCCAACAGGTGCAAAGTTGAGAATGGGACAGAGACTGCCATACCATGAAATGTTAAAGCTAGAGAGACCAAAGGACATAGAATGCCAGAGCTGGGCTGGATCTTAGACCATGGAATGTTAGAGCTGGGCTGGATCTTAGACCATGGAATGTCAGAGCTGGGCAGTGAGGGGGAAGGGGAGAAATGGATTTCTGACATAAAATATCCGATCTGGAAGGGTCTTTAGGAGCCAGAATGTCCTAGCTGGGAGAACTCTTAGAACATAGACCATCACATGGAAGGACCCTTAGAAAATGGAATGCTAAGGCAGGAAGGAGCCTTCAGGGCTCCATTAACTCAGTCAGCTCTTTTTAAAGAGGCCAAATGAAGCCCAGAGGGTGACAGAGTTGCTGAAGTTATCATGGGATGTTAGTGGCAGACCATGACTGCTCCTTGACTCTCATGCCCCCAATGCCTAATCGTGATGGAGAAGGGCTTAGTCGTTCATGCCGTGACTGTGCCCAATCTATGGGGAACATGGCCTTGACCTCAACCTTAGAATAAGGGATAAACCCAGGCTGGGTCAGACACCTCTTCCAAGCCCCACACCCGGCGGGGCCTAGTCGTAGCCAGGCCAGAGCTGTGGTCAGGTGGGGACCTGGGGGGGTTTTGGGGAAAGAGAGTCCACCTATATGCATTGGCATCAAGGCCAGGCCGTGGAACAGGATGGCATAGCGATGCTGCAGGATGGCGTATTGATCCCAAAGCATTGTATCATAAGATTTCAGGCTGGAAGGGGCCTTCGAGGTGACCTAGTTCAACCACTTCATTTGACAGATGGTGAAACTGAGGCCAAGATCTATGTTCTAAAGTTCCTCCCATAATACGATTGTACATGCATAGCCTATATCAGATTGCATGCCATCTTAGGGAGGGGGAGGAAAGGGGGAAAATTTTAGAACTCAAAATCTTATAAAAGTGCATGTTGAAAACTAAAAAGTAATTAATTAATTAATAATAATAAAAAAGTTCCTCCCAGCTGTGTGACCTTCGAGGTTCTCCCTCGTGGTGCTGATATTTGGCATTCTGAGTTCTGTACTCATAGGGGTGACTGAGGTTAAGTGACGGGGTGTCACAAGAAGTAAGTAGTGGAGCTAGAATATAAATCTGGGCCTTCTGATTCTCCCCAGTGTCATCCTCAGGAGCCCGTGGTGCCAGGCGAGGATGGGGTGAGGGGAGGTGTCCCCTGGGTCCATGGAGACAGAATGAGGAAGTTGCTTAGCGACCCTGTTGCTGAAGGGGGAAGGGCACTCACCATCTCTCAGGATTGTGTCTTTGAGCTTCTCCAGGGCCTCTGCAAATCGGGCCACGTGGGCCAACAGCTGGGAGATGTCCTCCACCTCCACAAAAGGCCCATCACTGCCTTCCATGGGGCTGTTGGTCATGGGGCTCTTATGACCCCGGCCCAGTGTCCAGGTGCCTGGGGCCGAGAGGGGGAAGCCGGCAGCGCTGGCATGGCGGTTCAGGCTGGTTGGGCGCTTGAGAGTGCCCACAGCACCCGAGCCCGACTTGGTCCCGCTAGGAGATGTCTCCAGTCCAGCAGCATGAGATGCCAGCTCTGAGGCATCCTTCCTGGGCAGCTCCTGGTAGGAGAAAAGGAGACATCATGACGTGGGGGAAGGTGAAGAGAACAGGATGATGTCAGGGAAGCTAGGAAGCCTGGCTTCTGGTCCTCTTTCTGCCTCTAATTTGCTACATGCCCTGTTCTCCTTTCTGGGCCTTACTTTCCCCATCTATAAAATGAACGGGTTGGGTTATGTGAGCTAGAAATCTAGAAACGAGAAGCAGGCAGTGGTCACAGGGAACCGAGGGTTTCATCGAAAACAGGTCATGCCTGACTAACCTCCTTTCATCTTGTGACAGGTAGACGAGAGAATGATGTGAGTAGAACCTTACATAGGTTTTTATCCAGGAATTTGATAAGAGCATCCTACTATTCTCATGGAGAAGATGCAGAGATGGGAACTAGACAGTAATACAATTAGATGTAGAACTGGTCAGATGGCTAGATTCAGAAAGTCATTAATGATTCAATGTCAACTTGGCAGGAGGTCTCCAATGGAGTGCCCCAGGGATCTGTGTTTGGTTTATCAGAAGCTTGGATAAAGACATCACAGTTTTGCTTATCAGAGTGGCAGGTGACACAAAACTGGGACGGACAGGTGACACACTGGATGACAGTTGGGATGCAAAAAGATCTTGACAGGCCAGAGCAGAGATAAAGTTCAGTAGGGATAAATAAATGTAAAGTCTTATCCTTGGGTTCAAAAAATCAATTGCAGAAGTAAAAGATAGAGAGGTGGGGCTAAACAATCCCTAGGGATTTCAGTGGGCTGCAAGTTTGATATGAGTCATGCATGTCTTGTAGCAGTCAAAAAAAAAGGCTAACACCTTTCAGGAGTAAGCAGATGATAATGCCTCTGTAATCGGTCTTTATCATGTCCAACTCTGGTTGGCACAATTTAAAAGAGACATTGAGAGGCAGTTTGGCATAGCAGATAGAGTGCTAGAATTGAAGTCAGGAGCATCTGATTTTGAAACCTGCATTAGATACTTACCAGCTGTGTGACCCTGGGACAAGTTATTTATTTAGCATCACTCAACCTCAGTTTCTTTTTTTATAAAATGGGCGGCTAGGTGGTATAGTTGGATAAAGCACTGGACTTGTAATAAGAAAGACTCATCTTCCTGGGTTCAAATATGGCCTCAGATACTTACTAGCTGTGTGACCCTGGGCAAGTCACTTAACCCTGTTTGCCTCAGTTTCCTCATCTGTCAAATGAGCTGGAGAAGGAAGTAGCAAACCACTCCAGTATCTCTGCCCAAGAAAACTCCCCAAAAAAGCATCATGAAGAGTCAGACACGGCTGAAATAACTCAACGACAACAAAATAGGGACGATAATAGCATCTCTTTCTCTCACAGGGTTGTTGTGAGGCTCAGAGGAGTTGATACACACACACACACACACACACACACACACACACACACGTGTATGTATACATTGCTCAGCAAACCTGAAAGCACTGTGGAAAGCTCCTCCCCTAATTTCGGGCCACAGTCTCCCACCTCCGTGTATTTTATGTTTCACAAAACACCCCTGCCCCTGGAATGCCCTCTCTCCTCATCTCTGCTCTGTGGCATCTTTGTCTTCCTCCAAGTCTCTGCTCAAGGGCCAGCTACTTTATTTTTATTTTTTTTCAGTTGTGTCCGACTCTCCATGACCCCATCTGGGGTTTTCCTGGCAAAGATGCTGGAGTGGTCTGCCATTTCCTTCTCCAGCTCATTTTACAGATGACAAAACTGAGGCAAAGAGGGTGAAGTGACCTGCCCAGGGTCACCCAGCTAGTGTCTGAGGTCAGATTGGAACTCGGGAAGAGCCTTCCTGATTCCAAGCCCAGTGCTCCAGCCATTGCACCACCTCCCTGCCCCACCAGCTCCTTTATGAAGCCTTCCCTGATCCCCCCAGCCGAAGGGATTCACTCCCCCCTCCAATATTCCAAAATATTGGGATATTCTTCACCACCCACGCCCAATTCATGGCTAAGTCCAGCCGGTTGCTCCTCCCCCACACCTCTCAAATCTGTCCCTTTTCTTCTGTGTAGCCCATCACCTCAAACAGCCTCCCTGCTTTCAATTTCTCCTCTCTCCACAACAGCCTTCACACTAAAGCACTGCTATTATTACTGCTATTGTTAATATTATTACAAGCTGGAGCGTGTCCAGAGGAAGGCGGCGGGACTGGTGGTTGAGATCTAGTCATATGAGGATTTTACTAAAGGAACTGGGAAAGTTGAGCCTGCAGAAATGAAGTCTTGAGGAGAATACAGCTGGCTTCAAGCAGCCAGGGCTGTTTTGTGGAAGAGGGATTCTACTGACTGGTCTGCTGGGCCCCAAGCGGCAGAACTAACAATGGGGGAAGGGGTTTCAGGCTAGGGTTAGGGAAAACCTGCTGTCTGTCCTAAGGTGGAATGAGCTGCCTCCAGAGGTCAGGGGATCCCTCTCAATGAAGGTCTTCAAGTAGAGACTGAATAACTCCTTTCTCTCTCTCTCTCTCTCTCTCTCTCTCTCTCTGTGTATATACCATGGGGTTAAGTGACTTGTCCAGCTGCACACAGCTAGTAAGTGTCAAGTGTTTGGTCTGAGGCCGGATTTGAACTCGGGTCCTCCTGACTCCAGGGCCAGTGCTCTATCCACTGCGCCACCTAGCTGCCCCTCCCCCCCAATACTTCCAATACATTCTTTTGCATATGATTGGACTCCAAGCTCCCCCAGAATGTACACATTCTGAATTCTGAGAGCCCTCCTAGCTCTGATGTTCTCAAGTCCCACTGGGAAGTTATGGGGTATCCCTGAGTTTACAGGTCAAAGGCAAAGGGGTGAGATTTGTTGTGGGGTCCCCCCCCTTTCTCCAGGCCTTCCTCTGTTACTCAATTTCCTCCTGCTTGGGGGCCCTTTCACAAGCAACTCTACAGAACTTCCAAACCACAGAGCAGGGCAACTCAGCCCTCTCTTCCTGCTCTGACTACAGCATGGGGGGTGGGGTGGGGTGGGGCTGCTTGCTTCAGCTCCGTCTCCACTGTCAGGGAAACAGGGTGCCCCAATCACAAAAGCTCATGGCTGCGAGGGCCCCCAGAGGGCACGCGACTCTACCCGTCCATGGGCAGGACTCCCTTCTACAACTTCCTGTTCAGCTTCTGCCTAGGATGGGGACTTCACCCTCTGACCTCCTGGAGACGAGCTTCAACAGCTGGGCTCTTGCTCATCCTTCCCCAGAAGGCCAAGCAGTAGATGGGGGAATGGAGAGCAAGACCCTCATGTCAAGGCCCAGGTGAATGAGAAAGGGGCAGGAGGCAACCTGGGGAACCATTTTGTGCTCAAGGGCCACAGGGCTCAGGGCAGGGTGGGGCAACCCTTTCTTTCCAGGGGATTGGGGGCCCACCTTTCTAACTGCCTAGGGAACCTCCAGGACCTCAGACTCCCTAAATGAATGCCTCATGACTCCCCAAAGCTAGACCTGTTTCTCTTGAGAGCATCACCATCCTCCCAGGCACCCAGGCTCAGATATCTTTGACTCTCCCGTCTTCCTCACCTCCCACATCCAATCAATTCCTCCTGTACAAGCCTCTCAGATCTGCCCCTTTCCTTCTCTACAGATGTCAATCAACTCAGAAGCAGTCTCTCTGCTTTCAGCTTTTCCTCTCTCCAATACAGCCTTCACACTGGAGCAAAAAAACCTAAAATCTTCCTGAAGCTCTGACCATTCTATCATCTTGCTCTAAAAAGTTCAGTGACCCCCTATTTCCTTTAAGGTGAAATGAAGATTCCAGACCCTCCATAATCAGCCTCCCAACCTACCTTTCTATTCTTTTTAAAATTTTTTTTATTATTTTTTACCCTTCTATTCTTTAAAAAAAATTTTTTTTATCTTTCTATTCTTATTTCACATTCAATGAACTGTACATTTTAGCCAAATTGGACTTAGCCAAATTGGACAAGAAAGCTGTTCTCCTAATCTTGCGCCGAAGTCTCCCACCTCCGTGCATTTATGTTTCACAAAACACTACCTCCCCTGGAATGCCCTCCCTCCTCACATCTCTGTTCTTCAGAATCCTCATTTTCCTCCAAGGCTCAGCTCAGGGGCCAGCTACTTTATGAGGCCTTCCCTGATCCCCCCCAGTTAAAGATATTCACTCCCTCCTCAAATATTCCAAAAGCACTTTGGATTTCTCTTTTGCTCCCATCATATTCTACCTTGTATTGTACCAAAATATAAACTTCCCCCTTGAAGTAAGGGACTTACTTATTTAAAAATAACAACAGCAAAAAAACCCCACAACTTTGTTTCCTTGCCTTGAGGACAAAACCTTGCATGTAGGAGGCACTTTGTCCGCTAAGAGGCAGGGTGGTACTAGCCCACAGAATGTCTCCTTTTGCCCCCAGGAATCTGGGCATAGAAAGGCAGAGAGAGAATCAGGAGCTCCAGAACTGGGGGAATCATACTTAGAGGCAGAAGGGATTTTGAAGATCATCTGATCATTTTATAGATGAGGAAACCCTGACCAAGAGAAGACAATAGAAGAGGTGATATGTAGGAGACTCAGAATTCAAAGCCAGGTGGTCGGACTCCAAATCCAGTCCCCATTCTACCCTACCAATACTGCCTCCCAGCTGGTGCCCAAAGATGGATGAAAGGGAGGCGGAGGGCAGGAAGCAGAGAGCGGTGGCTCTCCGCAGATGCCACCATGCAGGGCCTCCACTGGGTTGGAATCCCAGCATCACCTCTCTCTATGGGACTTTGCACAAGACCTCTTTGGGTCTCAGTTGCCCATGATCTAAAATGAGGGAATTATGATTTCTACATGATTTCTAAGGTCCATTCCCAATGTGATGTTCCATGATCCCAAGAGCCACATAGATACTCCCCATAAGTCAGTCAGGTATTTATTAAGCACCTACTGTGTACCAGGCACTATGCTAAGTGCATCATTCCCCAGACAGCCCCAGGTCTCCCTCATCACATCCATCAGAGATAGGGAGATTCTTGCCAAAGATAATGATATATTGGGCAAGAAACTGAAAACCTAAGGGGCAGCGGTGGCATTTTTCATCATTGAAGGCAAGGAATACAGAAAGGAAAGACTGACTCGGGAATTGAACCCCTGGCTAAGGAGATGGTGTCTGAGAGTATGTGATCCTGGGCAAGAGTCCCTAACCTCTCTGGGCCTCAGTTTCCTCATCTGTAAAATGAGAGGGCGGGATTAAATGACCTCCAAGGGGATAAGATGCCAACACAAATAACTCTAATGACCCACTGTTGCCCATGATGAGTGAGGGTACTGGGGAAGCCCGAGGGGGGAGTCAGGAAAAGGGAGCTCTGGAGCTGGGCTTTGAGGGAAAAGGCAGGGCTTCAAGGCATGGGCATTCCCCACCATCTCCCCAGAAACCCCTTAAAGCTCCCTGATCTCCCCCCAGAACCCTCGATGTCCCAAAGTCTTCCCAAGATGGCCCCCAATGACCCTTGGGAAGAAGCGGCAGCTTCCTGGAGTGGTCCTGAGTTCAAGACAAAACCACCCAGTCCTTGGGGGACAGGCAGGTGTCCAGCTGAGACAAGAGGTCAGAGGGGAAACTGACTGCAGGTCCTTCCTCCACCCCTCTGCTCAACCAGGCTTGGGAACCCAACTTCCCTCTTTTCCTCCCGCCATTCTCTCGGTGCCCTGGCCAGGCCTACCTTCAGCTGCACGCGGGGGTCTCTGCTGAGAGACTCAGCCCCCCTGAGACCAACCGAGTAGGGACTGTAGCTCTGCTTTGTCCCCAGTCGCCGGCTTAGCATCCCCCTGACCTCCAGTGCCCCCAGGGTGGGACACAGGGTAGGAGGGGGAGCCCCACCTAGAGAGCTTCTTGGGCGCTGCTTCATGGGGGTGGGGGAGGACCCAGGGCAGGGAAAGGAGGGGGGGCCGAGTATGGGCGTGACCACTCCTATGAAGCCTAGTGCATCCCCGGGGAGCAAGCCCCCCACCCGCACCCCAAGACAACAGTGACCCCCTAGAATCTCCTTAAAGCTAACCAAAACCCAACTCAATTTGGGGGCCTACACCCGAATCTCAAAGGGAGAAGTGGGGGGAGTCAAAGAATTGGGGAGACACTGAGCTCTGACCCGTTCTAGGCTCCCGGACCCCCAGTTCACTCCAGCATGGAGACCCTTCCTTATCTAGCTTTGAGGGTTCATTTCCTGACCCAGCCACCCTAAGTAGCTAGCTCCTCTCATCTCTGGCCCTTCCCCCTTTTCCGCCCGCCCTAGAGAATAAGCTGAGGTTTGGGGTGCATGTCCTCTTAGGACCGTTAAGCAAGGCAATTCCCCTCTCTGGCCCTTAGTTTCCCTGCCTTAAAACAAGTGAGTGGGATTAGCCGGTGTCCAAGGGTCTTTCCCAGCTCTGACTCTCAGAAGCCTCAGGTCTGTGCTCAGCCCTGGCCCAGGGTCTGCCCAGCCTCCTCCCCCACCCACCAGGCCAGGACCACTCACCGAGGGGGCCTGGGGGCTGGGGCTTCCCGCACGGCTCTTTTTGGAAATGGATGGGGTTTTCATCAGCTCCCGCTTCTTCCTGGAGAACATGATGTATCTGCCTCCTGGGCTGGGGGTGGGGGGAGCAAAAGGGCCGAGCTGAGCGCCGGCCACCCTGCAGAGCAGGGCAAGAGGGCAAGGGGACTTGGGTGCCTGGCCAGCTCAGGGCCCTGGAGGGGGGCTCCCAGATCCCCAGCCCTCCCTCTCGGTTCCTCAGTCCTGACGTCTGGCGGCTGATGGGACCACATTGGCTCTCCCCCCTCCACCTCCAAGCTGTCAGAGCCAGGGCCATGTGACAGGGGCCCCGCCACTCATTGGTGTCGGCCCGTGGTCCCCCCCCCCAACAGGAAAAGGAGCGGAAGGCGAAATACACACCCACAAAAAACACACCACCGAGCTTATTTCCCTCCCTGGGGCACTCTCCTCTCAACAGGCCTGGCTTGGGAACCCTCTCCTGGGCTCTCCTGGCCCCTTCCCTGAAAGCCTGGGAGTGTGAAGGACCTTGAGGAGCAGCACCTTTGGGATCTGGGGGGAGGGACTTCAAATACAACCCCCCCCCCCACGCACCTCATGGAAAAATCTTCGATCGAGAGACTCCCAAGTTTGAATTCACTAGCTGCACTTAACTTCTCAGCCCGTTTCCTCATCTGCCCAATGTTGAGAGATCCGAAGGCTATCATCTGTAAAGCACGTTACGAACCTTAAAGTGCTATATATACATGTCAGCTCAAATGCTGCTGCCAAAGCCCCCACCATCGCACAAGCGCGCGCGCCCACACACACACACACCCACACCCACCCCCCTTTAAGGGTACAGACGCCTCTTTGTTAATCTGCCTGTCAGTGATTTTGGAGCAGGTGGGTTTCTCTCTCATAGGAGCCGAGGATTCAGAGCTGGGAAGGGTCTCAGGGATCATCTTATCTGACTGTGAGACCTAGAAAGGGGTCATGCGGCTTAGTGAGTTAGCAGAGCTGGGATTCAAACTCAGGTCCACTGACTCTAAACCCAGGATTCTTTCCATTTATTTCAATTCATTTCACAAATATTTATTAAGGATATACTAAAAATAAAAACACACAAATGAAATAATCCCTGACCTTAAGGGCGGAGCAGTTTACTGAGGTAGGTGCTTGCCTGGGGCAAATTCATTTGGAAGCTGGAAAGCCAGGGAAAAGAGCCTTGTCACAGTTCCTCATACAGAGAGCTCCGTTTCCCAAGAGCTCCATTTCCCACCTCCATGCCTTTGCATTGGCTGTCCCCCCTGCCTGGAATGCACTCCCTTCCCCCCTCTACCACTTAGAATTCCTAGTTTCTCTTAAGACTCTGCTTAAGTTATCTTCTGTATGAGGCCCTTCCTGACGCAGCTGCTAGGGCCCTTCTCCCAAAGTTTTCTGGAATCCATTTTGTATCTTTTGTGTGGTCCTACACATGTACATATTGTTCTCTCCCCCCACCCCACCCCCACTGTAAGTTCACTGAGGGCAGGAACTGTTTCATTTCTGTTTTTGTATTTCTAGCGCCTGACACTTAGTTGGTGTAATTAAATATAAATGCTTACTGATTATCAATTGATTGAAGAGGAACAGAAGGAGGAGGGGTGGCAATAAGACCTGAGCAGGGCCAGTAGATAGGTGGGGCAGACATTGGAGACATTGGAGCAACCAGGATTCTCCATCAGATTCGGGGGTGATGGGGAAAGGGGCAGGAAAAGAGAAAGAGGTTCAAAGAGGGTGGTAACCCCAGAGAGGAGCACTGTGGTTCAGGGACAGATGTCAATGAGGCTAAGCCCCATTGGCCCCATCAGAGTTAGGGCTCTGCTTACAAAGAAGATACAACATATACACAGGTAAGTATAATCCATGAAGAAAGAAATGGCAAACTACTCCAGTATCCCCACCAAGAAAACCCCAAAGGAGGTCACCAAGAGTTGGACACAACTGTAAAACAACTGCGACGACAACAGAGAATAATCCAAGGCAATTTGCAGGGGTGGAGAGCGCTTACACCTGGAGAGATTGCCTTCTGACTTCCTCATCTGTGAAATGGGACAGATGGAAGTAGATGTTTCAGATCCGGGAATCCTCTGAGTCTCCCACTTCTGGGGGAAAACCTTCGCCTGGGAGCCAGAACACCTGGGTTTTGCCCAGGAGCTCACCTGAGTGAATTCAATGGAAGTCTGCTTGGACAGCTAAGTGGTAGGTTGGATGGAATGATGGGCCTGGAGTCAGGAAGACCTGAGTTCAAATCTAGTCTTAGACACTTCCTAGCTGTGTGACCCTGGACAAGTCACTTAACTTTTGTTTGCCTCAGTTTCTTCAACTGTAAAACAGGTTTAATGATAGCACAGTTGTTGTGAGGATTAAATGAGATATTTATAAAGCGCCTGTTTTCCTTCATTCTTTTTTTTATGAGGCAGTTGGGGTTAAGTGACTTGCCCAGGGTCACACAGCTAGTAAGTGTCATGGGTCTGAGGCCGGATTTGAACTCAGGTCCTCCTGACTCCAGGGCCGGTGCTCTATCCACTGTGCCATGAAGAAGACCTAAATGACCTCGCCATCCTGGAGTCAAGGTACAGACTGTGACTGATCAGATCAGTCCGAGCTTGGAAGACTCGGGCACAAACAGTCCATGAGAACATTTGGAGGGGAGATGTCTCTAAAGTTGCACACATAGTAGTCACTTAATACATGCTTGTTTTCTTCCTTGTGCTCTATAAAATGGGGGAGATAGCTCTTTGTATATGCAGCTAGGTGGGGCAGTAGATAGAGCAGCAGGCCTGGAGCCAGGAAGACCTGAGTTCAAATCTGGCCTCAGACACTAGCTGTGTGACTCTGGGCAAGTCATTTAACCCTGCTTGTCCCAGTTTCCTCATCTGTAAAATGAGCTGGAGAAGGAAATGGTAATCCGTGCCAGTATATTTGCCAAGGAAACCCCAAATGGGGGTCATGGAGATTTGGATGTGAAGCTCTTTGTATGGGATGGCACTCCCAGAGAATGGGAAGGGCACTGGGGCTATAGTGGCCTTTAGCAAGGGGCAGTCCCCTGGAGCGTCCTGAGAGGGCCCCAGGACTTCAGAGGCCTCTGGGAGGAGGGCACTTGCCTCCCCTGGGCCTTGGGGGCTTGCAGGGGAATTCCTCTCCCATCTCTTTGGTCAGCACACTCCTCATCTGTGGGAAACTCCTGCCCTGCCCACCCCTAAGGCCCTCCACCTGCTCTGTCAGCCAAGCCTCTCCTGGCCCCTTCCTTCCTCCCTCCAACTATTTCAAGCATGCTGTGGAGACTACCGGGAACTCCAGCCTCTTGAGTAAGCTAGGGCTTAAAATCCTAAATCGTCTTCACACACTCGGATACAGAACCATCCACCTGGAAAAACTGACAGTCACACACGTATGTGTGCACCCTCTGAGATCTGATTCTCACTCCCTCCCCTGCAATCCCCAACACTGCACATCTAGAACTGGGTACATCCCCCCTCTTCCCCCCCCAACCATTTTTGTCATTGTGGTTCAGTTGTTTCAGTCCTGTCTGACTCTCTGTGACCCCTTTTGGGGTTTTCTTGGCAGATACTGGAGCGGTTTGCCATTTCCTTCTCCAGCTCATTTTACTGTGGCTCCCTATTACCTCCATGGTAAAATATAGACTCTTATTTGGTTTTTAAAGCCCTTTACCCAAAGAAGCTCACTCCTACTTTTCCAGGCTGTGATCCAGCAACCGTGGCTTTCTGCCTGTTTCTCCCACAAGATGCTCCTCCCACCTCCCACCTGCCAGTCTTTGCCCTAGCAGTGCCCCAGGCCAGGAACACCTTCCCTCCTCACCTCTGCCTCCAGGCTACACTGGCTTCTTTCTAGACTCTGAAGCTGAACCCTCACTTTCTGCCGAACGCCCTTCCTACCCCACTTATTCAGTCCTGGGAGACTGCCTTCCATTTACATTGGATAGATCTCCGATACGCGTAGCTCTTTGCGTGTTGTTTCCATTGGAATGCCTGTGGATGGGATTGCCTGCCTCAGGCTGAGTCGTGGGGCTGGATCCCAAGGGGGGTGTCAGCCACATTCACACACGAACCTTTACTAGGACTCCTATTCAGAAATGTAGACATGCTGACCCCCTCCCCCACACACACAGAGCTACGTCCACATGGAACTACTGAAGGGGTCAAACACCTGCAAGGCTGTGCCAGTGAGCGTGCCAGTAAGCCAGTGGGGGAGATGCCATGGCGGAACCCTAACTGATCACTGGCTGCCTAGGAGGGTAGCCCCTGCTGTACAAAGCTCAGCCTCTGGGCTCCTGCCAACTGGCACCTGTCTCTGACGGGGAAGCCTGGCTGCTCCAGGGACCTTTACTTCCCCTCTTCCCCTTTTCCCTCCCCTGCTCCCCCTTTTCTTCCTCCTCCTGTGGCCCCGTTCAGCCTTTACAAAGCACCTCCCCACCCCTCCCCCACATTCTGTCCCCTCCTCCCCAGATCTCTCTTCTCTTCTTCCGGCCAGCCCCACCCTCCTTTGGAGACTCTTCCTGCCCACACCAACCCCATTCCCTCTCTGTTTCTCCAGTTGTCCTGCTAGGGCCTACCCTGAAGCTTAGGAGATGGCCCTGCTCTCCCCTCCTTTCCCCATCCCTTCCTTCCCTCCTGCCAGGATCCCCTCCCTAGTTACCTGGGGGTGGAGTGGGGCCTTATCCCTGCAGGCATCTCTTTATCAAACATCTCCAGCAAAGGGGGCCTCTACCAGAACACCCCAAGTAATGGAGAACTCCCTCCCTCCCAAGGCACTGGGTTCCATTTTTGAACAGTACAGTGAAAGTAGAGGTTTTTTGTACTTAGAATGCCATGAACATTTTCAGAGAGGGGTGACT